GTCTACTGAGTATTACTGTGAGTGACGTTACTCCCGTAAATGTAGTGCGTGCTATACGAGGGTTAACACAGATGTCATGACAAGTATTTTTTCTAAAAGAAACGTTATAGAATCATACAACTTTATTTGTCTCGCGAAAGAAATGCTTTACTAATGTGTGTACACAATAATAGATGGCTATGTGTCTCTTAGCACAGAAATCAATGTGAAATCAGTTTTCTGACTCTCTATGTGAGATATGAATGTAACCCGTTTAGAGCAGCACTCATTCACAAACAGCAGTTTTTCGTGGGATATGTTCCCGAGAATGACACAAGGTATTGGTGAAAGATCTGGGAAATAATGTCGGATAGTCGCGGGATGCGTAGGATAGTTTCTACGAGGAAGTGTGGCAACAGTGATTAGGAACGCACGTGACGACCCGTGAGTGAGCAGACTGATGTGGCAAGTGAAATAATCGACTATTTGCTTACACAGGTCTTTGGAACGGATGTATAATGTTTTTGATATGTTGTGAACTCGTGTTTGCTAAAATGCTTGGAACATAAAACCAAAACTGTAAATTAAAATACCTCAATGAATATAGAAACACAATTTAGTGGTGGTAGCTCGTTGAAACGTGAGCTCCTGCCATCGCCGATCTACAAGTCGGATTTTTCCCCTTCATTTATCCCAGTGAGGTACCACCCCATCTGTGCCAAGCTCCAAGCTCCCAAACAGAATTTTAGTGTAGTGAATATGTGTATAAGGGAAAAGGACGGGACAAAGTTGAGGAAGGAGAGATCGCGTACGGTTCATGCCTGTTTAGTTAGAGTACTCCTCCGACACCCACAGAATGCCGCGACTTCAGCGACTCTAAACAAAAGGGTCTACGGTTCGAGTCCCGAAAGTGGCGGGCACTAGCTGTAGAGCTAGGTAGAATTCACACGGTATCTGATGGAGAACTCTAGCGACCGATTGCTCTGATCGGCAAACGGTGGTATCTCCGATCAATACTGGGCGAATACTTGCAACCAATATCGGATACTGAATACCAATACCGGAGCCGAATGCTTACTTACACACAGAACATACACACTCTTATTTGCACTACAACACCACACACATCGGGTATCAAGTCTGGAGCGTAGGGCTTAGCCCCATTGAAGCGGTCCCTGATGGGGGGAGATACCTGAGAGGAAAATTTCCCGCAAGTCCATGTGAAGGTCAGCACCGGCTCTCAACTTACACTGGGAGAGGAACACTGCCATTTCCTGAGGTAAAACATTTTACCATACTAATTGAAACAATAACAATAGCAGTTGTCATGCCCGGAAACATCAATTAATCAATCAATGAGAGAGCAGAATGCCATTCGTCACATGGCATAACTCCTGTCCAGTGGGCTGTTTGCCCTTGAAAGTTCCGAGGGCGTAGCTGAGCGGTTTGATTGTGAGATTGATTGAATAGTAATTCCAGGCGCGTCAACTAAGGTCACTAGTCCCTTAAGTGTAGTGCACGTTTTATTGCGGAAGGTCTCAATGATCTTCCTCAGCTGGACGGAGAGGTCCACCGCCGTGCTACACGTCGGCCTTCCCATCTTTTTCCAACAACCGGGGCACCGCCCTAGCCGGATCACGCTCTAAGGTCCCGACTGGTCTTCGGCATGTGTGGTAGTGTAATGCATGTGAATCTAAGTGTGTGTAAGTAAGAGGTAAGAATTGGACGAGGAAGAGGAAGGAAAAATCGCACACGGTTTGTTAGGGAACTGCTTCGGCGTACACCGGATGTTTATTAGAGCCCAAGAAAAACTACTGATGGGAGCAACCGAAATTCTTCTCCAGAGAGAGGCTGAATTCCACCTACCTTTGTAGTTTGTGTCGAAAACCCTGTCGTCATCATCTGAAGTGGAACCCTAGGACCTCCCGTTTTAGAGGCGTTTGGCAGTGACATCAATTGATGGCTTGGCTGAGCGGCGACGGGCGCTCTTCGGCTTGAGCGCTGGCCACTGTACGCGCCATTTCCGCTTTCAGCGTCGCTCCCTTACCCTTCCCGGTTCGTCAAACCACCCGCCGCCGCGCCAACTCCACCCCTCGCCACCGCCGCCCCGCGTCATATCCCCTGCCCCGTGCCAATGCCGCCCCACGCCGTCCCGCACCCCGGCGCACCGCCCCCGCGCCACTCGTCCGCGCCACCCCGTGCCGCACCAACCGCGCTCTGCGCCACCCCACCCCGCGCCTCCCCGCCCCGCGCCTCCCCGCCGCGCCTCCCCGCCCGCGCCTCACCGCTCCCGCGCCATTCTGGGCCCTGCACCACCCCGCCTCGCAACGCCCGCAGTCCCTTCCGGCACCTCCCCGCCCCACCCCGTTCTCCTCTGCTCGCCACGACACACAGCTTCTCTGCCCTTTACCACCCTACACTGCCCTCCCGCCCCACTCTGTCCTGCCTCGCCACAGTCTGCCCCAACCACTTCTCACCCCAGCTCTGTCCCCTACC